CAAAACAACAACAAAAAACCCCAACCTGCTACTTTTCTACTGCCATACTTTGGCCAAAACAATGTGCTCCTTAACTTGCTACTATTCTACTATAATTATCAAGTAATACATGGAAGTGAGTAAAAAATGTGGTATAACAACTTGATACTATCAAGGCAGTTTAAAGCCATAGAAAAAAGATTAGTCAGGTTAAAGAGTCATTCAGAGTCCAGTGTTGTGGCAAATACCTGTACTTCTAGCACTGTCTCCAAATAAAAATTAAAAAATGGCTGGAATGTAGCACCTCAGGGCAAAGGTCTGGATTTAATCCTTAGTACTACCCCTACAGCCCTGAAAAAAATTTACTCAGGTTTTCAATTTTTGTTATTTCTTCCCTTTTCTTTTTTTCTTTTTTGTTGTTCTGGAGACAGGGTCTCACTATGCAGTTCAGGCTGGCCTCAAACTCACTACGTAGCCCAGGCTGGCCTCAAACTCACATTGATCCTCCTGCCTCAGCCACCTGAGTGCTGGGATCATAGGTGTGGGCCACTATGCCTGGGAAGCTCTCTTCATTATTTCTAAACCAAAATTATTACAAACCTACTTGACAGAAGTAATTTCAGGGGCTGGGGATTTAGCTCAGTGGCAAAAGCGCCTGCCTGGCAAGCGCAAGGTTGTGAGTTCAATTCCTGGTACCAGAAGAAAAACAAAAGCAACAACAACAAAAAAGAAGTAATTTTACATGAGAAAGTAATGACAAGCAAGGACTATTACTGAAATATCTTCACCTCACATTCCAGGCAAATTTCTAAGTCATTTGCCTATACCAGTGGTGGCGAACCTATGGCACACATGCCAAAGCGGGCATGCAGAGCCCTCTCTGCCGGCACCTGAGCCAAGCTGCAGCAGCATCTGAGTACTGAACAACTGCGCATACCAAATACACCAAATACAAACATTCAATAAAAAGCTGTTTACATCACTGAAAGCTGTGTTCCTGGGTTTTTCTTTTAAAAGACGTTTAGTGTTTAAGTTGTTTTTTCGAAGCTAACTCCTCAGTCTACAGGTGTGTAACCCACTATGCCCAGCATTCAGAACATCTTCATTACGCTTGGCTAAGAACTGGACACTTGAAGTCAATCTATTTACACGCCCCAGGGATCTGAAACAAATACCTCCAAATACCTAACTTTTTGTCACTTTTAGGACATGGCTGTCCAACTTTCTGGCTGGCCTGGGCTGCACTGAACGAAGAAGAATTCTCCTGGGTTGCAAGTAACATATATAATATAGTTGATATATCCAAAAAAATAAACTTGATTTTTTACTTATACTTATTG